CTAGACAAAAATAAAGTCATAATATTGTCATGATATTATGGGTTTATTTATTTTTAAAAATGTTCTTTGCATGGCCCTAATACTTTACCATTTTGTTCTTCCTCTTAATTTTGAAGTTTGAAAAACTTCTCTTAAACATTTTTCTGCTTGATTTGCAGCAGATTTTCTGGACTCCCGTCCTGAGACGAGCGTCGGTTCCTCCACATCGCATCTTCCTCCAGTGATTCAGTCACCACTGGCCTCTTCCTCTCCAACAGAACCAACCTTTAAACAACCACTGAAGAAAAGCACTTATAGATCTACATCTTCGCTCCCTGAGAAAACATCTGATGAATTTCACCAACCGCGCTCACCTAATCCTGTACCAGTTGCTAAATCTACATCGGATAAACCTCAAAGCATCAAACAGACGACAGAAGTTACAGAAAACATCGACCAGGAGACATTGAAGGAGGATGTCAGCAGTTTATCTCCTGATAAAGAGCTGAATGAACTCAGTTCGGCTCCACGTTCTGGATCAGGATCAAAGCTGAGCCCGTCTCCTCCTCCATCCCGGCTGGATTCACAGCGCTGGCCTGTGCTGCCTCCCATCTCCCCAAAAAGAGGTAAAAAATGAGCTTGAACGTCAAAGCCTGAATCCATAATGAATCGTCTATAAAAAAATAAAAAAAACCACTGCTTTGATTTTTTATTGTTGTTTAAAGGCGTGAGGCCCCAACAGTTGAAGTCAGGAGTTTCTCCTGCTCAGCTTTGGTTCCCCTGATGCTTTCTCTATTCTCTAATCCCTGAGAGGGAGACGTGTTGCCGACGGTCATAAATCCACACTGACCGCTGCACATCGCTGAGCCGAACTGCCACAAAGAAATACCTCGGTGGCTTTCCTGCGGCTGCTAATTTACCGTTGCCAGTGGGGATAAAGGACTGGGCCAGTGACATCTGACTTCTCCGGGAACTTTATGAAAGAAAGCAAACAATGTGGAAATTGTGTGGGGATTTTCTCCTTTCTGTCAGAGACGTCTACTGTTTTCAACTGTAGACTGTGGCTCTGTACTGCAGGGGGGCCGCGCTGCATCGCAGCACGCTGCTCTCTTCACAGCAGACACAGAGCGAATGTCACCAGTTCATTTATTTCTCTGCAGATGGAGGCAAGTGGAGTTCAGAGAGCTCACAGCATGTGAAGCTCAAAGTTTATTTGCAGTTTAAACATCGGTTTCAACAGCTGCTGCACAAAGGATCAAATTACAGTCATCTGTTTGAAAAATCATAATTTCAACAGAGTGTTTGGGTGCAAATCATATTGCCATCTGTTTGTCCGTTTTTTATTTGTCCATCCTTTAATGTGTTACTCTTCTATGTTCATCTCAGATCCAGTAGGTTGACTTCACAACATAAACTCAGGTTCACTGTTTCTATTATAACAGAAGAGGAAATCAAGTTGGTGGTTAACATCAGTCCAGCAGCTTCTGCCTCCATACATTAAATAAAATACAATAAATAACCCTAAACAAACTACAAAGTAATAACTCCCAAGTTTCACAAGTTAGCAGTTCTGAAATTAAACATGGCTAAAATGGACAACATTAATAACAACAGTTAAAAACATACAAAACATAGCAACATTACTCATGATACACTGTATATGATTAAGTTTGTCCAAAATATAAATTAAGATGTATTTGTAAAGAAAACACAGAGCTGATTCTAGAACATTCCACGGTTACCAACGGCAACAGAAAAAAGTGGGAGGAGCTGTGGGTTCCTATGGTAACTGGTTGGTATGGTAACCAACTGCCAAGAGCAGCTTAACAGAACTTACAACTCCAACATACATGCCTTAAGAAACAACTTGTTGACTAAACAAAATAAATTTAAAGAATAAAAGAACTCGGAGAACGTTTCTCTGATTTTACTTCTCTTTATAGGTTTATCCATCCATTTTCCTTACACCCTTGTCCCTTAGTAGGGTCGGGAGGGGTGCTGGTGCCTATCTCCAGCTAACGTTCTGGGCAAGAGGCGGGATACACCCTGGACAGGTCGCCAGTCTGTCACAGGGCAACACAGAGACAACCAACCATGCACACACACACACTCCCCCCTAGGGGCAATTTGGCCAATTAACCTGACAGTCATGTTTTTGGACTGTGGGAGGAAACCGTAGTACCTGGAGAAAACCCACGCATGCACAGGGAGAACATGCAAACTCCATGCAGAAAGACCGGGGCCGGGAACCGAACCCAGAACCTTCTTGCTGAGGTTTTCAATGGGCTCTTGTTTTTTTCCAGAACTGTATGTCGTTCTTTGCATGCATATGTTTTTCCATCCAACCATCTGTCTGTTTGTCAACAAATTAGCTGGTCTTGGCCACCCACCCAACTCAACGTTTTCACTCACACATGAAAATGGCTGCAAACAGATGCACACTTAAACAACTGTACGTCTTTGAAAAACAGAATATAGCAAATTGTATTTGAACGTACAACAAAATTCTTACATTTTCCAGCAGCCATTACAACAACATTTAATTTCCCTTTGTGATCGATTGAATTGAATTGTGTGGCGCATGCAGCTTGGGGCCCAGCTTGGGCTCGGCCGGGGTTGCTAGGTAACAGCCCATTGTGACTAAGCAATCAAACAGGCTGCAAACAGATGTGCAATTATACAACTGTACATCTTTGAAAAGCAGAAGTAGATCCTCCTGCACAACCAAAAAGTAATCACGTGCTTTCTGGATGCAAAGTTGACAACAAAACACTTGTGGTTGCTAGCTAATAGTCTGTGGTTGCTAGGTAACGGGGAGTGTGTCCTGATTTGTGATGTTACATTCTGGAGGTTTTTGAAATGGCTCATTTCCAGACAACAGAAAACATCTGGGTGTTTTTTTAAGCCTTTGAACTGTTATTGAAACAGTAGAGACTCAAACTGAAGTACAAAAACATGCATAATTTTTCTTAATAGGTCCCCTATAATAAGAAAATAAAATATTGCTTGTGGGGGTTTTTATGGGTTAGGTGTCCAAGGTAATCAGAATTTATTTTGTTTTATAGCGTCCTTGAAAAGCAACACGTCTTATGTTGAGTTTTCTCAGAAAGTCTTATCCCGACCCCAAGCTGCCCCGTTTTCAACACCAAATCCAGAGTTTGACTTTCTCCAACAATAAACCAGGGTTCTGTCCTGGCATGGCCCGGCCTCTTCTCTCAGGCCCTTTCAGCCCGGCGAATAGAGGCCTCCAGCTGCACAGAGGAGGCGTTGTCCTTCCAACCAGCCCCCTTAGCCTCCCCGAAAAACTCAGTTCAACCCTTGTCGCCTGAGACTGACAGCTCAGTTGACAACAGCAATATGCTTTGAAGTGTCAAGTCAAGTCCTTCCATTGTCTGTCTGAGTGGCGCGGCAAGTCGCTCGAGAGCAACGCCGTTCGCATACTCCACTTCCTGTTGGAGCGCGGTTCGCCTTTCCTTTTAGAAACCGTGTATATATTATCCTTTTGTCCGGAGAAAGCTGTTCTGCATATCTAATGTATGAAAAGCCCCAACAGGTCCTTTTCACTGCAACACAACGCATGCCTTGCAGTGACTGTTTCACCAACTAATCCTCCGATTTCAAAACCAGACAGGCAGAGAATAGCGTGAAATTTTTTCCTTTGAGTCAGGTGTAAAGTTATGAGGCTGATTTTCTTACACAGCCGTTACCATGGGGGTATTTTCATTCTTAAGGAACAGTTACGCTTCTGACTTTATGGTTGTGTTAAGTAGCTGTTTTTGCCATTCATTTAGCTTTTCCTACCTCTCTCTGATTATTATTATTATTTTTATTTTTATTAAAAGTTTATCAGTTTTCTAAGAAATCTCCTTTATACAGAATACTTCAAAAAGACAAAATCAGGTATCTGATTTGAAAACCATGTATCTTTTTGTCTAGTTTTTACTGTAAATATCTCAGTACACTTGAAATGACTCAGTGATTCTGCTCTTACTCTCTCAATTTGTGCTAAATATAATTATATTTTTGTAGCAATTATGAACAAGCGCCGATGAAGGTCATAAAAGTTAATGCTTATACACATAAACTCTTACCAAGAACGTTTGGTCTAGCTTCTTGTGCAAATAACTTCGTTGCAACTTAAAGGCAACTTTTAGCAAGATATTTGAGTTTGTTTTAAGTAACCTATTTCTTGATACTGATTTTTAAAAAGTACAAGATTATTTCACTTAAAACAAAATGTTTTTTCCATGTTATAAGTGAAATATCCTGCCAGTGGAACCTGTACTTTTTCATCAATATTAAGGAATTATTTACTGTAATAAAAGGTTTTATAACTTTCTGAAAAGTTACTTGTACATTAGTTTTGCCTTCTTTCACATGAAATAAGATGTTTGCATTAGAAACTAGGTCTAACATACTTGGTAATATAACCTTCTTCATCATATGTAGCAGAAATTGAGAGAGTAAGAGTTGAGTCACCATTCATGTCCCACGCTGTGTGTTTGCAGGTTCCTCTGCAGCGTCAGGCTGTTCTGAGATCAGCTGCAGTCAGTCTCAGATGTTTGATGAACTGGAAGTCATCGCTCCACTTTCAGCTTCCTCTTTGTCTCTGGATCGAGCATCCGACTCTTCGGACTCGCCTCGCTCACCTGGCTCACCTCTCACAGGTAACGCTCAAGGATTATGAGCTGCAACTAAGAGTTATTTTAAATCATTTTGTACCAGAATCAATCTGTCTTCCTGCAGGATTATTTCACCCTAAATGATCCTGCAAACACAGCGTGAAATAAAGTATCTGAGCCTTTATATGTTACAGTCATGTTTCTCTTATGCAGAATTTCCCTTTTCCATGAAAATTTTGACTTTCAGCAACTGGCAGATGTTCAGTATTATCGTGTTTTTGACTGCAATAACAGTTTAGTCCGCAAAATGAAAATAAATCATACCAAATTCAAATTCTAAGAGACTTTATTGATCCCAAAGGAAAGGACTGTTTTCACTGTAATATGAGGGATAAAACCGCAGCTTATTTCGACGCTTGGACTGTTTTTGTTTTCTGGCAATGAAAACGTTAAAATGTGTGACAGAGAGCAGCTGTTTGGGGAATTCAGCCATTATATTTTTTTATTTATATGAATAAAGACAGCAAGAGAGGATAACATAATAAGCTATAAACTTATTATTTTTACTTTATCTTTTCAGTAAAATATGATAAATGAAAGATGTTACTCGAACTGTGGACTTAGTTCAAAATATTGGTGAACTATGAACATGAATGAATTGATTTAAACCTGGTTGAACTAGTTCTTGTTACTGTTCAAGTGGCACAAAATGTAATTCAAAAACTGCAATGGAAACAGTTTTTTCGCATCACAAGAGTCATGTGATCAACAACCAGATGCTACTACTGCTGGAAAAGACGAAGAAAACAACAGGAAGTGGTTGGAGGATGATGTTTTTAATCACTTATTACATGATCAAAGTTATTAAGATGTGATTTTAATTGCATTTCTTAATCAAATGTCATAACATTGTGTTTATTTGACATTAGCGGAATATCAAAAATGTTTTTTACTGCTAGTTCTGATGGGTTTGTTGTCTTTTTATTATGTAACACAGTTTTGAAACTGAGTCGGTTCTAGTCACGCCTACATTTTCTAATCTCTTCTTTTGTAGCTGCATTTCCAGTGAAAATGTGCCCAAAAATTTGTCAGTATTACGCTAATGTCGAAAATAAAACTAAATTTTGCAGTTCCTGTGTTTCCATTAAATAAGAAACGCAGTTAAAGTCACACATGAGTGAATTTGTTCACACGCCGCTCCATGATCCTCCAACTGCTTCCTGTTGTCTTCTTTGTAGTTTGTGCCAGTAGTAACATCTGGTTTTGATTATGTGACTTGTGTAATGCAAAAAAATGATTTCCATTATTTTTTTAAAACCACTGCATCCTGGCACAAAAACATCTTACCAAAGAAACTTGTTTTTGTTTTTTTTAAGTTGGCATGTTCCCATTGATTATATTTATATTAGTTTTATGGTCACTGGAAAGGATGAGATAGATGCCTTCACTCGATCATTTTCTATGCAGCACATCTTCTACATGAGCAATTGTTTTGTGAGATAAATTAATTTTGATACAGCCACTAGCACCGAAACTTTTTTATCAAAAACAAGACCTTTTTAAAAATTGCCGCGTTTCCATTAAGCGAATTACTTTTCGAAACGATAAACTGCGTAACCATGTGGTGAGTGGAAACGCAGCGAATGATCTGCGCGTCTTCAGAGGCAGAGATGGGTTTATCTGACGTCTCACTCTGTCGGCTCGTTTTATCGGCCCAACAAAGGCGGCGCAGACGTGACGTGTGTGTGTTTCCGCCTGTGTGTGTCCTGGAGGAGCTTCTCTCAGCTGCAGAGAAAGATATCAGCCAGTGAAGACTTCCTCCACCTCCCTCAGAGCCTGCTAATCCCTGACAAGGTGTTTAACCTGACCCGAACCGCCGTACGACCCCACAGACCTTTGACCCCGGAGGATGTGGAGTGATAAGGATCTGCTCTGGGTTTTGGCCAGAAGCTCTTCTAAATGCCAGTTAATGCTCAGATTTTTGTCATGCTGATGGGAAGCGCAGCTTAAATCTGTAAAGGATGTGGTGGATTTTATACTATCAGAGCTGAAAATGTTAAAAATATTTAGTTTGGTGGGGAAAACAATCAGAGTTCTTCCTGCATATAAACAACAAACAGATTAACACATCAGATCTGTCAACATTTTGAATATGTGACTTCTGTTTTGCCATCTACATTAGTTTTATTTCTTATACTTTTTATAAGAATTGTGTTGTAGTTTCCTTTGTGTAGTTAAGTCATTTGAACCTTGTTTTATTTCTATAAACTTTGTTTTTATCAAGATAAATTACTCATTGTCCAGGGGTAACAAATGAAAAATAGTTATTTTACTAATTCTGATACGTTAAAAATAATAATTAATGTGGAATTTCCTTCCACACCAAATGAATTAGTACATTTTAATTTCAAAGGCTGTTAAAAACAAGGTGCTTTAATGTTGTGTGTTTTAGCTCTATACCTGAATAATTTTAGGTCTTTTGTAAAAACTTATGTGTAGTTTATTTAAGTTTTATTTGATTAACTAATAAAAATATTGCACATTTCTAAAATGGTAGAAAAATGACACATTATAATACTTCTAATTAAAATTTTGCATATAATTAACTCTAATTACCACTTTTGTCATGATTCCTCTAATCAAAAATAAACTAAGTCGCCTTCACTTGTGTGTAAATCTCAGTTTAGATCCAACTTTTCTGTTCAAAAACATTAGAAAGCAAAAAGTATTGCGATAAAAAAGAATCAGGAAGCAAGTTTTTTTTAATGAATGTCTTCCTGGATAAGCTCCTCCTTTTTCCACCACATGACCGATCACAACTCAGGAAGTCATCCAGTGTTTTTGAAAAATAAAAACTGCAATGTCAATCTGCAAGAAGCATGTAATTCTCCAATTCTCAGAAAGTAGTGGTTGACACATTTTCATTCCACAAATTGGACTGTTTTACATCCACCCCTGGTCCAATACCGCCCTGGGCAACCACCCACAGAGCGCTCACTGGAAAAATGCCACTGAAAGTTTTGAAAGAAAACCAAAAGAAATCCTGTTTAAAGTTTGAGAGGCTGAAGATGACCTGGTGATGGAAGCATCATGCTGTGGGTATGACTTTTTTCAGCATGGACAGAAAAGCTGTTTTGATTTGATGGGAATATGGATGGAGCAAAATCCAGCTAAATCCTAAACCACCAGATGTTTGATGGAATGGTTTAAGTCAAACTACATTATTGTGTGAGAACGGCCTAGTCAAAGTCCAGCCATAATGAACCATCATTGGTTCAGGTGTGTTGAACCAAAGGAGCTGAAAATATTTGCACTCCACACATTTCAGAATTCTGAAACACGTCTTCTCCATTTTAGATAGATGTAAGTAACATACCTGGGTTGTACACTGAAAAAACTGAAGTTTGTTTCTGTTAAATTAAAAAATAAACATATTAATAAAAAGGTAGAGGAAATTCTGCTGATTTCCAAAGAAAAGTTTGTAAATGAGGAATTGGTTATATCTTTTTAGAAGTAATTTATTAAGAAAGAAGGACGAGTCTCTGTGGGTGGCAGCAGGTTTACGCGTTACTCAAACTGAGGATTAGTTATTGATCAGCCAAAGTGTTGGTTAATTGTTTTCCACTCTGGAGCGTTAAAACCCGGCCTAACTGAAAGTGTGTCGCGCCTCATTGTGTTACCGTCGGCGTTATTCCTGGGATTTCCTCCCAACGACTGCAGCTCCTCTTCCTCACCTGAAGGATTACTTTACAGGCCTGACTTTCCAACTGAAAACACACAGCCAATCAACAAGTGTGTGTGTGTGTGTGTGTGTGTGTGTGTGTGTGTGAGTCCTGAGTTGGGACAAACTGAACTTTCCTCCGTTTGATGTTCTTGGAAGTTACTGGAAGGTGTGTGTGTGTGTGCGTGTGTGTGTGTGTACTTTCTGTGAAATCCCCTCAGATTGCCACTCCACACCCAGCATGGACCTGGGATTTGCATGGGCCGGGAGCCACAGTGTCACTGATCCGCTTTTAATTGGGTGTGACGGAGAGAACTTTGGAGCCTCGGGGGGGCAGAGGGGTAGATAAAGGGGGTAGAGGGGTAAATAAGAGGGGTAGAGGGGTAGTTTATCAGTTCTGTTGGGTTTTACACCAATTTTATGATTTAGATGAAGTTATTTAGTTTTTTTCTTGATTTTTAAGGTGGGATTTTGTGGAGTATTTATGAGCAGGCAGTAGCTTACGCCTGGAAAGACCTGTCAGTTCATCCATCCATCCATTAATCCATCATCCATTCATCCATTCATTTTTCACTCTAGCACCATTTCACCCATCAGATTTCTCTTTAACTGTAAAAACTTTTCCAACATGTTGAATTCAGTCGTGTAAAAATCTTTGGTAAATTTATTGACCTTCATTTGTTTTCCTGTTTATTTTTCCATCATTTTGTGTCTTTAAATTCCAGTTTCCCGTTTTCTTTTTGTGTTTTTATGTCTTTAAGTTCCAGTTTCCCGTTTTCTTTTTGTGTTTTTAAGTTCCAGTTTCTCGTTTCCTCCCGTGTAGATTTGTCTCCGGGCCTGGCGGCACTCACTGTGGGCTGCGACTCTGGGAATCTGGGCTCCTTATCCCGGGTCCAGCTGCTGCTGCTGGACCGGCCGGTACCACACACCGACCTGGACAAGGGATTCTCCCCGGTCCAGGAATGGTCTCACCTGACGTCACCGTACGAACTCCCAGAATGCATCTCACCAGGTAAAAACTGCCAGAATATTCTGGAAAAAAAAAGAAAAAAAAAAAGAATTTAATTCTGCAGTAAACCTGGAATCTGAGCTCAGTTAAAACATAATGTCCTTGTCCCAGACTTATTCCTTTCTGACAGTTTGAAAGAGATCGTTTGATAAGCAGAAACCGTCACTGACATACCTGGAAGCCGTCAGACAGGTGTGTCTGTGTTTGTGTCTAAGAGCATTTTGAAAAAAAATACTACTGACCTCCAGAGAAGGGGAAAAGCGAAATGCCGCGTTCTCTTTGAGACGAGGCGACGCCTTTATGACGCAGAGCGGCCTTTTCTTTTAACGACCGATCCGCCGCTGCGAGCTTTAACTGCTCCTGTCCCGAAGGTGTGGCCGCTCAGGTTCACTGGGACACCAGCCAAATTATTACAGATCAAACTGCTGGAGTGGAACATTAACTGGGGAAGTCCGAGTCGGACAGCAGGAGGCGATTTAAACCAATCACAGCACACATAACGATGGATAAGAGGCGGAGAAGAAGAGCTCAATTATCTCATCGTCTGTCGTTTAGAGGCTGATAAAGCAGCAGGGAGGAGACAAACAGCAGAAGTCTGAAGGTTCACAAGTTTCTCTACATCAAAAATAAATCAGAGGAAATCAATTGGATATTTTCTTTCCTCAAACTCATTTTTGTTTTGGGCCAAATCAAGACCATGAATGCTCTTAAAGGGCCGGTTGTGCTGAATCTATTGATAAAACTTGTTCACGAACTGTTAAAATATCAATTAATTATTCAAATTAAATATCACTGAGCTGGTAATAATTTGGAAATATTTCTGATATTTATGATTGTATAGATCAAGGATTATAATCTGACACCAGTTGAGGCTGAAGCAACTGTTTAGCACAAGTAAGGAAGTTTTTGACAATTTTTGAGAAAAATCTGCAATAAACTCCCTAATATAATAAACAGATAAAACCTGCATTGATTTGACTGATAACATAATATTTAAGCTCACTTAACATCATAAATCAGTTATTTTGATTTCAATGTGAAAAGATGTTTAATATTATCTGGACATTAATGATCATTTCATTTATAACAAGACATTTTACCATGTTATAATTTAAATAATCTGCCAAAGGAACAAGTATTTAAAAAAAAGTAAACTTTTTGCACATACATCAAAAAACAAACCAGTTTGGTGAATCACTTTCTTTTGCAGAAACCTTTTCTGTAAAATATTTAGTAGAATAAAAGAGCTGTGATAAAAACGGATGAAAAATCAACAAACTAGGTGAGTAAAATGTGTTTTTGTTACTTTGAGGCACAAGCAGGATATTGAATGGTCATTGAATTTTCTTTTCAGCCATCTATGAATATTTGCAGGGAGCCTAAATGTGTCTGAATTCCCTGGAAGCTCATTTTTCCTCTCAGGCTCCAGAACAATGTTTGCAGCTGGCATGCTTCTGCAGACAGGTGCTGCTCTGTTGCTCCTTTTTCTGCCATTATTTGCTCAGAGATTAACAGCCATAATTGGGGGTACTACACAACATTACTAATATCTGAGCACACACACTCCAGTACAAAAGACAAATGTGTGTGTGTGTGTGTGTGTGTGTGTGTGTGTGTGTGTGTGTGTGTGTGTGTGTGTGTGTGTGTGTGTGTGTGTGTGCGTGCTGCAAACACACAATCACTTCCTCTGGCTGCAGGTCCTGATGATGATGATTTCTCTGCGGTTTTGTCAGGTCATTCAAGGCCTCTCACAGCTGGCAGCAACTCTGAAAGGTGCGACTCTGCAGGGAAACTCCAGGAGAATAAATCGGTGAGTGACTTGGGCTCTTTAAGAGGAACTTTTCTCCTCTTTTTTTCATCTCTCGCTCCAAAACCACTCCAGGAAGTTAAATTCTTCATGAAATAACTGCAAAAAATGCATGTCAGACGAGTCAGTGTTTAATTGAGGTAAACACACCGTTCTGCTTGATCACATGAATCAATTTGATGCTGAAATACTATTTAATCAGTCAAATTAAAGCAATTTTTAACTCTTTACTGATAAATTCCACCAGTCAGTCCAATTTTTGTGCAGAAATTTAAGTAAGATTAACAAATCGCCACACTTTTTTGTTCAAGTTTACAGCAAATTTTCCACCAAAATGTTAAAAAACTATTTGGTTTAGGTGATAACTCCACATGCAGGTGGCAGTATTTCTTACTTTGACTCCACTGCTGCTTCAGCCTCACATGAGATCAAGACTTTGTCCGTTATCAAAATGGCAAGTAACAAAAATCACATGTACCGTCGTACATAAGCGCAAAATATCGTAAAGTTTCTTGCTAATATTTATAAATTAGCCTCATAAATAAGTTCATTGTGAAAAGATGTTTAATGTTATTTAATTTTAAGAAGTGCTTATCGGATGCAGACACAGCTATTATTAATTAACAGATTTTATCAACACATTCTGGCCATTCATGACTATAATGTGGGTCAAAATGAAACTGAGTTTGACTCCCTGCTTCAGGAGAAGCTCCAGCAACAAGGCAGGGAGGGGTCGCTCCCCACGCTGCTGTGGAACGGGTTCAGTTTCTCCACGTGGTTTTCAATTAATCTCCTCTTTATGACAGAGGAGAGAGTCTGAACGAGGCTGTAAACCCCCAACATGACGGCACAAGGAAGGATTCATGCATTCATAAATCAACTGCAAACTGAAAACGATCCACAGGAATCGGCTCAACGCTCTGAATCAACCTGCTGCCCAAGTGGGAAACAGCACTTTTATAAATTATCGCCATGAAAAAAGCCTTTTCACACTGAGGTAGCTTCAGCCAAGTGCTTTGAAAAACACTTCCTTAAAGTTACGACTAAGAAATGCAGGTCTTTTTTAAAATTATTTTTAAAGTCGGTGTTCAGTCTGTTTAATAAACTCCAACTGAGGAGTTTATTAAACATTGCAGATAAAGTACATTTCCACCAAAACACTTTTTCTAGTAAAAATAGCAAACTTTTTGAGTTTCAAAAGCCAAAAATGTGCTAAACGCACTTTGAATTGCCTTGTTGCTGAAAATGTGCTATATAAATAAAATTACCTTACCTTACCTAAAAAAATACTCAAATTTTGAGATTATTCTTGGAAATTTTCTAGAAAAAAAAACAAGTGCATGTCTGAGTCTGAAAAGTAAAAATTTTCTAGAAAAAATTCAGAAATTTTAGATTATTCTCAGGAATTTTGTAGTTTTAAAAAGTTACCAGTTTGCTAGAAAAAACAAGAAATTTTGAGATTAAATGAAGGAAATTTCTATAAATAATTTCTGAGTTTGAAAAATCGAAATTTTTCACCTTTTGAAATTCAGACATGTCCTTTTTTTAAAATTTTGAGAGTAATCTCAAAATTTATTCTAGAAAATATTTCACTTTTCAAACTCAGACATTTGTTTGTTTTTTTTCTACAATATTTAAATTTTTGCTCTACTCCTTTTACTAACATTTTCAGTGCTCATAATAAACGGCCCTTTATTTCCTTTTATGTTTATTTATTAACACTCGTTCCAATGTTGCTCTGGCTGCCATGTCTGTTTTGTCTCGTTCCTGCTCTGGTTATTCAGGCAATACTCCATAAAATGTCTATTTTTGCTATTTAAGAAAGGAATTTGATTATTTATCTAACTCTTTTAACGTATTTCTAATGTTATATAATAAGGCTGTAGATTGTGCCATTTTTGTCTGATCAATCATCAAATCATCTTTTTGAAACAGAAATCCCAGCTCAAACCCTGAACGTGCTGCAGAAACGTTTTCCCGGCCTGAACTTGTTGAACATTTCCTCTGTTTTTGGTCAGAACTGGTCTGATGGAGGTTCTGCGTCTCCGTCTTCCTGGATCGTCGACCCGAGTCCGTCGCTGGAAATGCTCCGGTCCTCTGGTTCCTCCCTCCTCTCCAGTAGGTTTCCCGTTTGCTTCAGCCTTAAAACGCGTTCATCACCGTGTCGCCTCAGTGCTGCGGCTGCAGAGCTTAACAACAATACTTAATCAATGTGAGAAGCCATCTTCGCCATTAGCGTTTGATCCGATAAAAGCCCGGTGGGTCCCTGTCAGCCCGGAGCCATTGTCCCCTCGCTGCCAGCGCTGTGTTTGGTGTTCTCTTGCCTCCGGTACACTTAAGCCTGCTAATCCTTGCAAGGGCCAGCTGGCCTGTTGAGTTGGCTGTAGATTCATGAGCGATGGGTCCGAAGCGGCTTTTAAAATATGAACCCTGGAAATCTTTATCTGACCGTTTCCACGTCCTGCTTGTCTTGACTCTAATGATGCATAGCTTGCTGTATTTCTGCGTCCATCAGGCTTCAGATGGATGTGTTGGTGTCAGTCTGCAGCTGAGCTGCAGTGATGCAGAAATGCTGCTTAGATGTTTCTTTACGAAGCCAAGGTCGAATTTATTACTAAAATAATAAAAATATATTAGATTTAGAGATGCATGGGTCCAAATATTGTGACAGAGACAGATCTAAGCAGTCTAATTCTATGCTTTTTGCTGTATTATTTATTTTACATTATATTTTTTATTGCAGTTTCTGAACCATTTGAAAGAAGGTTTGTTTCACCAGTTTCTTAAACTATACAAACCTGAAAAAAGAGACTAAAGGAGCTTCTGAGCGTTGACCTTTTAGAGGTCAAAGGCATGGTCACCCTCTGGAGGAGGAGGGGTCACCATCAGGGCATGGAGAGGTCAATGTGGAGGTCATGCTGCTGCTAAACGACCCCCAGACTTGTCTTTGTATGGAAAGGTGAGGTTTGTAATGCAGAGAGTCAAAAATGCTTAATTACTACTGGATTTTAGTCTAACAAATTTAGCTGGACAATAAATGTTTTCACACCTGATAGTCCAATAGATTCAGTTTGATTTAGGACCAAAACTGCAACGTTTGTTACGTTTTCATCGGATTGGTTCTCTTTCTCACTGCATTGTGAACCAAACTAATTGAAAAACTTTTTCCCCTCCTCACCTGTGGAGGCGCTGTGCCAGGAACCACTGAAATAAACAACACAGAAACCTCAGAACAAAACATGAACGCAGATTCCTTCATTACAAAATGTGAACAGAAATGGAGTAACGTCAGATTTTAGCGGTTGTAGGATTTCTCTTTTGTCTTCGGCAAAAGATAAGGAGATATTTCTCATTTCTTGAATTTGTTTTGGTTTTATTTACCCAGGATGCCTTGCACTTTAGTCCACTTCCTGCTTTTTGAGCAGTATCTGATTGCATTGGCATTTGAGCCGCACCAAACCGAGGTTTGTAGTTGAGCCAGAGTTCATTTTTTTAGTTTGATTGTACATTCAAATCAAACCTTTAGAAAAACAAACTGCGGTTTGATTGAAGAGGACCAAACATGGTGGATGTGAATCAAACCTAAAGTTTTTTCCACCCTTTATTTTCCTTCACCTGCACTTTAAGAGCCAAAAAATGTGTCAAATTTCACTTTCTTCCACACTTTCCAGACTCTTGATGAAAAACTCAAAGGTTTTTTTGAGAAAACTTCTTCTTTCTTGTTTGTCGTTAGCATGAGTCGCCCATTTCTTCTGATCGATTGAGTTTCTCCCACCAGAACCGCTTTGCTCATCAGCCATTCATAGCTGGATTAATCCCTCCCCTCATATTTGTAACACGGTTGTTAGCCCTCAGTCACTCGGTTTAGCATTCAGCTGCGTAGCTAAGGTGTTAGCGTCTGAATGAATGTAGCGATAATCTGAAATGACCCTGCTAAAAGACAGAGATGATTCTTGCAGAGATTAGCCATGTAGCGAGCAAAGATCGTTTCCCCCAGCGGACCACACACTGACAGCGTGTCTCTATTGTCTCCAGTTCACCGCTGCTTCGGATTCGCAGGCTATTGTCTCAGAAATCCTCCAACATTTCCCCAAAAACCCCCAGACTCGAGGCCTTTGATTGGCACTTGTCAGGGCTGATAGAGAGGGTGGCATGTTGGAGAAAGGCGTCAATGAAGAAGGCCTGAAAGGAAAATCCGCTACCCATGAATAATAACTCGCAGGATTTTGTCTTTTACTCCTCCTTCCTCCTGTTCTGCCATTAAAGCCGATTGTCTCGCTGATGCTCATCCTTTTCTCAAACACGCAAAGAAAACGATACAAGTCCAGCCGCTTTGCCGCTGCCTGGTGTGCTGGATGTTAAAGGGTGTGGGTGTTTTTGGGTTTTTTTGTCCCTGGTGGCCTTTCTGAGATCAGCGAGGGGATTTGACTCGGCCACTTGCAGCCAAATCCAGATATCTGCTGTGCTCAGATGCTGTGGTTGGTATGGCAACCTGCTTGCTGTGGTTTTAGATGAGCTCTTGTTTCCAGCTTGACCCGACGGCAATCACTGCTGTGCATTCATGGATTAGGCCGTGTTGGAGGTTTGGATATAGGAGGGCTTTGAAAGAACGGTTTCAAGTCCTGAATAATTTCAGTCAGAGCTGAAATCAGCGGTAAACATCGACCTGCTTCATTTGAATATCCTTCAGATCCTCGCTCTGAGAAACTGATGCTGCTTTTGTTTTACTCATTTTTAACAGACATTGAATAAAACAAAGTTTTGATTGCATAATCTCACACAAATCATTATGTAATGAAAATGGTTTTTTTTTAAAAAAAAACAATACTCCTTTTCCTAACGTACAAAGGAGTATTAAGACCGTACTGAGAAAAAATAAAAAAAAATATAATGAGAATAAAATCATAATACAAGAACAAATTTAAGTTAAAGTTGAAATATTTCAAGAAGTCCTAATTTGACTTAATTCTTGTAATATTATGACAAGAGTATTCTTGTAAAAATAATAATTCTAAAATATTTTTATAATAATTTTTATTAAAAAAAATGTTAATAAAAAATTCTTTATTTTTCATTCTAATATATCTCAATGATATCCCACTGAAATTAGAATCCCCTCATCGTTAAAAAGTCTTCAATTAATGTATCTAAAATTAAGGCCTTAACCCTCTTATGACCAACCT